AAAACATTATTATTCAGATCAAGGACTTCAGCAAATTCACCCAATTCTTGTGATTGCGTCTCTATATCCCAAGTGAGGACAAGAGTACGATCTCGTAAGAGAGCTGAAATGGGAAATCAGTCACTTATTGTTATAAGATCTTCCAGTGAACAGAAATCTTTTATAGATACGTAGAATTCATGCAGACAAAGCGGGCTGGTCCCTTTGCCTTGCTTGTAAATATATTTGTTTATTGTAGACCATCCAGAGAGTTGAATACCATTCTCTCGGGCTACCTTACGGTGAAATGAGTATAAATCATCTGAAGCAGTTTTGAAGTTATTATCTTAAACGAATTTAATAGCAATTTTTCTACTACCAGTACTGTTTGTATAAATAGGAAATATGACTTTTTTCGGTATGATAATCCTGGAAAGGGAATGCTTTAATGTGTTCTATTTTATATGATTTCACAATGTCAGTGAGAATTTCGCTCACCTTTTCTTTACATTTATCTGGAGTCTCAATGTCTGATACGTAAATGTCAAAGAAAACCTGAATGTCCATAAGAGTTACTAGTGCCTTTTGGCCATTAATAAGGTGACCATAAAGATGCAATACATAGTACATTCCATTTATCCCTTCTGTTGATCCTTCATTCTCAATGGCCATGAATGGAATATCTTGTCGTTTAGATAAAGCATTTTTGAGTATTGGAGTTAATCTCTCATCATTTCCCGCAACTATATCATCTAGTGTTGGAAAATCCAACAAGTTTTTTCACCAGAATAGTGAATCAGTTGGCCTTCCATTTTATCTTTTTCGGCATTTGGACGAAAAAGGCGAAGGCGTCGAGGAACTCTGATTGTGTCATTTTTTCTCAAGCAATTTTAAATAATTTATAACTATACCAAAACTCAGGGTATATTATTCGTATAAAAAAAGTTTAAAATGAAATTAATTCCCTGACATTATTAATTGATACATATAAATGGAAGGCGGAAAAAAAGGTGACACACTGGTATTATATAATTGTTCATATATTCTTAGGACAGGAGAAGTATGCAATCGGAGATGCTATCATCCAAAGGAATATAAAATCCACTGAAATTCTAGGCAGGTTTTTTGCAAAGAATGTGGTGAGCTGACAAGATCCAAATATAATTATTGTGATACATATGCAAAAAAACATAGATCAAAGGAACATTACTATCAGAAAAAGCTGGCTGACTTAGCTTCGACACAGGAACTGGTAGGCAATTAAGTATAGATAGAAGTGATATAAAAATCAAGAATATATCCCAGCAAACTGTTATAGAAAATCTGTCCCAGTTTTTGTTCCAGTTGTCAAAGTTTTTCTAGGACAGATGAAATATAGCTAGATGGTAATATTAAGACAAATGAAAGGAGAAAGAAATAGTCTGTCTCAGTTATTCTAGTCGTCCTAGTAAATTTTGAACTTTTTTACTTTTTTTTATTTTTTTTACCTATAGGTATACATATATATCATATATATATACACATATCATATATATACTATACACATATATCATATATATACCATAGGAAAATTACGATTTTTTTTTTAGAACTTTATTTTTTACTAGGACAACTAGGACACTAGACATAATATAAAGAATAAGTTAAATCAAAGAAAGAAGCTTTTCTCGCATAACAAAATCTGTCCCAGTTCCTGTCTCAGTTTATTAAGATGTCTCATTTACTAGGACAGATTTTCTTGAATTTATAATGGAATATTTTTGCAAGTAATTAACCAATTTATCTCAAATTCAGCATATGTATCTTCCAATAATATACATATAAAATATTATTTGACATAAAGCCTTCTGGAATCACTATCATATGATTTCCCCAACAATATATATATAATGTATCACTTGACACAGAGCCTTCTAGAAGCATTATCAGATGACTCTTCTAACAATATATGTATTTTCTCATAACACCCATTTTAGAAAAAAAACACAGTAAATTAACAATAATATCGGCCAACACTATTCCATAATTTCAGCCAGAACTTTGGATATAATAACTTAGCATCCAAGCTGGTATATAAGTGGACTGAAACTGGCGAATAAATGGAACTTCTTAGGCACCCAGCCAGTTTCCTACTAGTTTCTTAATAGCTTCACAGTAGTTTCAGGATACTATCAAGTCACCATCATGACGCTAAGCTTGATTTCACAAATGAATTATTGCATCAAAGTGTAGTCTTCTTCAGAAATTTTATATAAAGAATTGGAAGAAGACTACACTTTCTAGGTATGTATTCGATATGGTATAGCCTTCACATAATATAGAGGTATACTAAAATTAGATACGAAGTTGGCACCTCCAATTCTCTAACCAACTGATCCACTAACCCAAACCCAAATATCACTCAAATATTTCTCAAATATATTTGACGCATTTTTTCAGTAAATGCAAAAAGAAATGATAGCGAACTTAGTCAGCAAATTGTAAAAGGAAGACAAGCAGATATTTATCTAGAGATAAAGCCTTATCCGTAATTATATTATATAAAAATAGAAGAAGGCTTTATTTTTCTAGGTATGTGTTCGGTTACGATATAGTCTTCGTATAAGACTTATTTGCTTAATGTCAGCCAACACTATTTCATAATTTCAGCCAGAACTTTGGGCATAATAATTCAGCATCCAAGCTAGCATATAAGTAGACTGAAACTGGCAAATAAATAGAACCTCTCAAGCATCCTGCCAGTTCCCTACCAGTTCTTCAACAGTTCCATAATGGTTCCATGACACCATCATAGCGTCATCATTATACATGAAGTCAAAATGAAAACCCAAAAAGTCGAAATGTTTCGAATTTGGAGGTCAAAGTCGAAATGGTCAACATTACGTCATATCACATGATTTTTATATATAGAAAAAATTAAAAAAATAAAAGACGTATGATTTCGGTCAATATCGCTCTGATTCGTATGAAAAAACTACCATTCGATTCCACACGACTAGACGAATCCAATGAGCTAATATTCATTGATTTCGGATCATCCAATCATGAGATAATCGCAATTGTATTATCAGCTGAAATTATAAATCAATAAATTCTACTTTAAATAAAGAAGTCCAGATTTCGAAATATGATCGCAAATATCTCGAGATGAGATGATCCAAAATCAATGAATGTTAGCTCATTGGATTCGTCTAA